ATGCCAAGTCACAAGTCAAGTCAAGTCTTTTAAAAATAATTACAAGTCAAGTCATGAGTCATCAAAAACTTCCGAGATCAAGTCAAAAATAACTTGACTTGAGTCACTTTTGACTTGACTTGCCCAGCTCTGAGCAGGCGTATGTGGTATTAATTGAAGACTTTTGGAATTTTGTGTGAATTCTTTCTCACAGAACTAGTGTCTACATACAAATAAGCATAGAAACTAAGAAAGTTTGATGCTCTCTATACAAGACTATTTTCAAAGAAATCTGGTCCTGGTCCCTCGGCACTTTTAATGGGACTTGGGCCTTTCCGCAGGGCTGGGATCGTCCAGCAGACATCTAGAAAAGATTTTTGTGGGTCCCGGCCTGGTAAAAAGTCTCGTGGGATCGGGATGGAACAGGCACCGTCCCACAGACCACTAATCCATCGTGTAGCGAAGAACGCCTTTAATATTGTAGAATATACACTGCGATAATGTCAACCTAATTCGGCACTATACTTCCTTCTGTCAAACTGATTCGTTCGTTAGACTTTTTTTCGGGAAATGCTTATAGCTCCTGAACAGAACAGGCCAACAAGCTCGGCTTTACACAGATCGAAATAGAACGTTTTTATCTATCGATTGGTTAAATTGGAAGTCAAAATAGAATGGGAATGTTTTCATAATAACGTCCACAAAATACCGTAAAAGGTTACAGCTCATTATTGATGTCAGTGGTGATAGTTCAAAGCAGTATTTATAAACTTTGTTCTTATGAAGAAAACTTTGAACTACCCTCTATCACCGAAAAAAATTAGTCCATTTGCTTGAAACAGAGTGAAAAAAATTGATTTTTTATTGTAAAGCTACTTATGGCCCATCCTATATATACAATGACAGATGTATTCATTGACGAAGAAGAGAAGTTTTCGTAATCTTTTCATGACTTTCAATCTAGTAATGCCATCAAACCATACTATCCAAACAGGTGACGTTTTTGTATCACTCGATTTTAACTCCAAAATAGAAAGCCTTATTGTTTGGCCTGATCAAAACATTGATGAAACTGAAAAAGAAGAACTGAAAAGAACTGAAAATAATTTTCAATAAGAAAAACTCATTTACGGCAAATAATTAATTATCTGACGACATTTGATGATACTAACAAATGTTTTAATTATATCAGAAGTACTAAATAAGAAAAAATATTTTTTATTATGTCCTGATCATTAGGAAAGATCGTCATAGATGAAATGAATGACTATTCTCAAGTCATATTATACATTTACTGCTCGAACGAAAAAAGAACACAAATATTGGACTAAGAACTATAGAAAAATTCTGGATACTTTTACAACTGAATATGAACTGATAACACAGATTTAACAGAAGATCAAGTTCGATTCATGTGGTCACAAATATTAATGGGAATATTACTTGGTTTATCACAAACATCAAAGTCAAAAAAGGAATTAATTGAAGAGCGTCGTCGACAATATAAACACAATATTTATCAACAAAATAAAATAATTGAATTTGAGAACACTTTGATCAAATGCTCTTTCATGGTATACACATGACAGCTTTTTATATCGTATTGTTAACAAAGCGTTACGTAAGATGCACCCAGGGCAGCCTTGCAGTGAAATTTATTTTTCGACACTTCATACACCATTCGATAGAGAATTTCGCGGTGATCACGAATATCACTTCCA